ATTCTAGTTCAGAATACTGAAAATATGATACTAATTAAAAATTTAAAATGCAGGAGGATCAAATGAAGGAAAATGAAACCTAATAAGAAATATGTGAAGTGCCCACGACTGTGCCTAGTAATATTGGGTGCAGAAAAATGTTAATGTCCCCCAATTTCCCCACTTCACAACATTCTTAATGAATTATCCCTCATCTAAAGCAATTTTATACTACCTACCACCATGTATGACATAACTAGATAACAACACAAATGTTAAAAAGAAATAAATTGCACTTACTGGTAAAAAGATTACTTAGTGAATTTTCTTTTGATGATTCCTTTGAGGATGAAATGCCAACATGTACAATAAAAATGTAAGGTGCATCTTGCCAAGTTTGCAATGGTTCATGCATTGCCTAGAAAGGAGGAAAAGGCACCAAACCTTCAAATCTTAAGAAGTGAAAGCACAAGTTAATAATACAATATGAAAATTTTGCTCCAGAATGTGTCCAGAAACATGGTAGAGTCCTTCATTTTCACTCATTGAAATAGCAGGCACAACAAACAAGCCTGTAGTGCATAAAATAAAGTAGGCTAGATTATGAATTACTAAAAAGCAAGGTACCTTGTATCTTATACATTTAACATTTCTTTATGAGGAAAACCTCAACAACAATCACTAAGTTGAATCTCTGTTTAAGCCACATTTGGATACCTGGTTATGTTTTACAGAAATCATGACAAGCTAAGGAATTTAAACTAAAGATTATTTAAATCACCTAAAAAAAACTATGATGATGTCAATAAACATGACTTATAAACACCAATTCCTGAATCTAACTTCCTTTGTTCAATGCCCTTCACAAGACTACCAGAATATCTACTGACATGGCCTTACATTTATATAAAAAACTTAACCTTGGGCTAGTTTATGTGGAAAGCAAGAGTCACTGCCCCTCAAAGCCAAGGAAGACAAATTAACAGCCTCCAAGCCCTTGACCAGTAACTCTTGCTTTCCACATAGATTAAACTTCACCACCACAAGACTAAGATACAAAGATAAAGATGTACACAGAAAATGATTGGCTGCTTCTTCCTTATGTGTGAAAGAAGGTACTGCTACCTAGAATTGCAATTTTTACCATCTGGTCTTAGAGGGAGAAACTTTTATCCAGAGATCTCTGAGTAAGCTTCACTGATCTATGAAACCCCTCAAAGTGGATAACAGATTTTATTCATTTATGCATTTCCCTGTGCAGCCACAACTTTTCTCAAACGGTTAAAATGTCTTACAAACCCAAGAAAAGGCTAATAGTTCAGAAATTATATTCCACAATAAAAATTCAATGTGTCAAACAGATTAAATGATTCTTCAGCTTACTAGGGTATCTTAGTAACTAAGAGCATAAATGTCATGCTAAATCATACAGTGATTTCTCTCTGCCTAATAGTCTCTCTCTGACAAGACTCAGGAGCAGTCTGTGAGAAAACTTTACAGCTTTGAAGTTATGAGTATCACATGTCTTATTAACTGTAATTACTGAACCTTTCTGGAACTTGCTTGCTCATTAACCAACAAAACACTGGTGTAATAAACTGCTCTGTTACCAATTTTAAATATCTTAAAACCATCTCTTACAAATTCCAAAAGGAACTAATTTCCACATTCCAGGATTTGATAAAGTTTACATTTAACTCTGGAATGTAGCAATTCTGATTCTGTAAAACTAACATTTATATGCCAGGCACTCTACTCAGCATTTATTATGTTCTTTAATCCTCCTTTTTAAACTGAGGTAAATTTCACATAACATAAAATTCATGATTTTAATGTGTATAATTCAATGGCATGTGGTACACTGCACAATGATGTACAAATACTGCCTCTATCTAGTTCCAAAACATTTTCCTCATTCCAAAAGGAAACCTTGTACTCAGTAAGCAGTAACTTCCCATCTGTCCTTCCCGCTACCACTTGCAACTACTCATCTACTTCCTGTTTCCATGGATTTGTCTATTTATGGACATTTCATATAAATGAACCATAAACACATGGCTTTCTGTGTCTTTCACTTAATGTTTTCAAGGTTCATCCATGCTGTTGCATGTATCAGTACTTTGTTCATTTTTACAGATGAATGATAATACAGTTTATGGACACACGACATTGTTTATTCATTCCTGCTTAGAGTTTCAGCTTTGTGAGCTTCTCAGTCTTTTTGAAATTAATGCTTTTATCAAATTTGGAGAGTTTTTGGCCACTATTTCCTCAAATATTCTTTGCATGCCTTTCTCTCTCTCTTCTCCCTCTGGAATTCCTATTATGTGCACACTGATATACTTGGTGGTGTCCCCATAGGTCTCTCAGGCTCTGCTCATTTGTCTTCATTCTTTTTATCATTTTTATCTCTATGTTTTCCTGGTTTTCTTTAGTTCTTCATTCTTGCTTTTCTTAGTCTTTTTATCATCTTATAATTTCTTCTTCTTCTTTCTTTCTTTTTCATTTTTTTTAGACACTGAGTCTTGCTATATTGCCCAGGCTGAACTGAAATTCCTGAGCTCAAGTGATCCTCCTGCCTCAGCCTCCCAAGTAGCTGGGACTACAGCATTTGGTTTTTTAAGCTCTTTGAGCATAAATAAGAGAGTTCATTTAAAGTCTTTGCCTGGTAAGTAATACTCAGGCTTCCTCAGAGGCACTTTCTATTTTTTTTTTTTTAATCCTGTAAATGTGCCATACTTTCTTGTTTCTTCGTACAACTCATAATTTTTGTTGAAAACTATTAATAAACATTCTGAATAATATAATGTAGCAGCTCTGGAAACCAGAATGTGCCCTCCACCTGTTAGCTGCTGATGGGGGTTGTTGCTGTTTTATTTGTTTAGTGACTTTTCTAAACTATTTTTGTAAAGTCTGCTACTGGAGTCTGTGTTCCTTTAGCTTAGTGGTCAGCTAGTGTTTTGACAAAGATCTTCTTAAACACTAGGAGCCAAAAAAGAAAAATACTACCCTCCCAGTCTTTGCAGATGGGGCAATGCTTCAACACTTAGCTGGGCCAATTAAAGCCCTTCCTTAGTCTTCACTTTCTGCTTGTGCAGAGCCTGAAGATCAGCCAATGTGAAAGCTTAGGATCATCTAAGGTCTTTTCTGAGCAGGTGTCCAGTCCTGAGAATGCACATGGCTTTCTCAATTCTCCAGCATACACAGGAGCTTTTAAAAGCCCCTTTTCTCCCACATTGGTCCTTTCTATACCTTCTCCTTCCCAGGCTTTACAGTCTATCTATTGCTTGTCCCCACTGTTATTCCTTTCCCTATGCAGCCAATACTTCTGGCCATAAATGCTTTGACAAACACAACCCAGGAAGCCACCACAGCCTTAGAACACTCTCAAGTCAGGCAAAACAAAGGCAAGTCCTTGCACAGGTCCTTCAGGGAGCTGCCAGACAGGTCAAAACAGACAACCACCAGTCTTTAAGAATAAGGTTCATATTAGTCCCTCTGGCATTAGCAATCTGCATCAGGACTGCTGGTTGCCATCTTTCTGCCTCTGAACTAGGAAATAGGGGATGGTAAATGGACAATTTAAAACACCAATGCACTTTCTTAATACAATGCAGCAGCTTCTTCAGTAAAATTTTCCTTGTTATTTTAAGTGTCTGACAGCTTATTAGTTGCTTTTGTGGAGGCACAGAGACCTGGACTTCCCTATTCTACAATTCTTGGTGATGTCACTCCTATTAGCTCCATTTTACCATGCAAGAAACTGATGCACAATAAAATAACTAATTTTTCCAAGAAGTTTTAAGTTGTAGAGTTGGACTTCGAAATCTAGAACATCTGACCCCAGAGCCTGTGGTTCTTAACGACCACCTTGACTACTAATTATTTCCTCCTTCTTAACAGAACAATTTTTAAAACACTGTCTTCTTGATAATGCCTGAAAATTATAAGTCTTCTTCAACACAAATTTTAATCCCATCAGTAAGATAATTAAAGCTGCATGTGGTAATCTAGTTACTTACGCTCTCAATAGTTACAAAACTAAACATATTCTTACCATATAATCCAGCAATCATGCTCCCTGGTATTCACCCAAAGGAAATGAAAACTTACATCCACATAAAAACCTGCACACAAATGTCTACAGCAGCTATATTCATAATTGCTATAACTTGAAACAACCAAGATGTCCTTCAATAGGAGACTGTAAACTGATATATCCAGACAATGGAGTATTAGCACTAAAAAGAAATGAGCTATTTAGCCACCAGAAGACATGGAGGAACCTTAAGTGGATATTACTACATGAAAGAAGCCAATCTGAAAAGGCTACGTACTTGCCTAATTCCCACTATATGACACTCTAGAAAGGGCAAAACTATGGAGACAGTAAGATCAGTGATTACTAGGAGCTTAGGGGAAAGAGAGAGATGAACAGGCAGAGAACAGAAGATTCTTAGGGCACTGAAACTATTCTGTATAGTGTAATAGTGGAAATGTTATTTAACATTTGTCAGCTGGGTGTGGTGGCTCATGCCTATCATCCTAGCACTCTGGGAGGCTGAGGCGGGAAGATGGCTTGAGCTCAGGAGCTCAAGACCAGCCTGAGCAAGAGCAAGACCCCATCTCTACTAAAAATAGAAAAATTAGCCGGGCGTGGTGGTACACGCCTATAGTCCCAGCTACTCAGGAGGCTGAGGCAGGAGGATCGCTTGAGCCCAGGAGTTTGAGGTTGCTGTGAGCTAGGCTAACACCAGGGCGTTCTAGCCTAGGCAAAAGAGCGTGACTCTATCTCCAAAAAAAAAAAAAAAAAAAAAAGGTATACATTTGTCAAAACCCATGCATGAATCCTAATGTAAACTATGTACTTTGGTTGATAAAAGTATGCCAATGTGGGTTCACCAATTTTAACAAGTGTACTACAGTGATGCAGTTTGTTAATGATGGGACAGGAGTGTGCAGGCATACAGGGGTATGGGGAAACTCTATGTACTTAATTTTGTTGTGAACCTAAAACTGCTCTAAAAAATAATTTATTGACTTTGCAAAAATTATAATGGTGAATGTATCACATTACTACTTACATCAAACAAAAAGAGTTAATCAAAATATTATTCTCGGCTGGGCGTGGTGGCTCACGCCTGTAATCCTAGCTCTCTGGGAGGCCGAGGTGGGTGGATTGTTTGAGCTCAGGAGTTCGAAACCAGCCTGAGCAAGAGCGAGACCCCATCTCTACTAAAAATAGAAAGAAATTAATTGGACAACTAAAAATATATAGAAAAAATTAGCCGGGCATGGTGGCGCATGCCTGTAGTCCCAGCTACTCGGGAGGCTGAGGCAGGAGGATCACTTGAGCCCAGGAGTTTGAGGTTGCTGTGAGTGAGGATGACGCCATGGCACTCTAGCCTGGGCAACAGAGTGAGACTCTGTCTCAAAAAAAAAAAATATTATTCTCGTTTATCAATCTTTTCTTAGGGGAAGGAACACAGAGAGGACCTTTCCTCTACAAACATCTGTGTTTTATCAGAGCTTTAATAAAAGAGAGTGGAGGTACTGAACTGGTGAGTACCCTTTAATAAGTTTATAAGGTATTTGCCTCAGGCCCAATTTTCAGGAAGAAAGATCAAAGGACAGATAATTCTTTTGACTATATACTAAGTATTTCTTTTTTTGTTGTTTGTTTTTTATTTCAGAATATTATCGGGGTACAAACACTTCAGTTACATATATTGCCCTTGCACTGCTCAAGTCAGAGTTACAAGCATGCCCAATACCCATACATCACATACTGTACCCATTAGGTATGAATTTACCCATCCTCTCTTCCCCTCTCCCACCTGCCCAGTGCCCTATGTTATTTCCATATATGCACATAAGTGTTGATCAATTATAACCAATTTAATGGTGAGTACATGTGGTGTTTATTTTTCCATTCTTGTGATACTTCACTTAGAAGAATAGGCTCCAGTTCTATCCAGGATAGTACCAGGGGTATTAGTTCATCATTTTTTTAAGGTTGAGTAGTACCCCATGGTATACATATACCACATTTTATTAATCCACTCATGTATTGATGGACATTTGGGTTGTTTCCACATCTTTGCAATTGTGAATTGTGCTGCTATGAACACTCGAGTGCAGATGTCTTTTTTATAGAATGTCTTTCTTTTCCTTTGGGTAAATACCCAGTAGTAGAATTGCTGGATCAAATGGTAGTTCCACTTTCAGTTCTTTAAGGTATGACCATATTAATTTCCATAAAGGCTGTACTAGTTTGCAGTCCCACCAGCAGTGTAAGAGTGCTCCCATCTCTCTGCATCCACACCAACATTTGCTGTATTGGGACTTTTTGATAAAAGCCATTCTCAATGGAGTTAAGTGGTATCTCATTGTGGTTTTGATTAGCATTTCCCTGATGATTAGAGATGTTGAGTATTTTTTTATATGTTTGTTGGCCAATACTGACTAAGTATTTCTAAATATTACTTGTGATATTCAACAGGGTCATCTTTGAGGTAGCTTTAATCACTAGGAAAAAGGCTCAAGCCCTGAGTAGGACTCAAACTATGCTACACACAGGTAACAACTGAAGAAAGCAAAAATACAAACAGCCAATATGCATATAAATGAACATTCATCTTCACCAATAATTTTTTAAATACAATTTACAACAATAAATTACTGCTTAACTAGACAAACTGCATAAAATCTGTTTTAAATAGTAATAGCCAGTGTTTGTGGAAAAAGATGGAAACTCACTCTCACTTTCTTGGGACCACAAAGTGCTACAACTTCTCTGCAGAGCACTTTGACAAACCACAGACAAAGAATTTTAAGGCCGGGCGCGGTGGCTCACGCCTGTAATCCTAGCACTCTGGGAGGCCGAGGCGGGTGGATCGCTCAAGGTCAGGAGTTCGAGACCAGCCTGAGCAAGAGCGAGACCCTGTCTCTACTAAAAAATAGAAAGAAATGATCTGGATAACTAAAAATATATACATATAAAAAAAAAAAATTAGCCGGGCATGGTGGCGCATGCCTATAGTCCCAGCTACTCAGGAGGCTGAGGCAGAAGTATCGCTTGAGCCCAGGAGTTTGAGGTTGCTATGAGCTAGGCTGACGCCACGGCACTCACTCTAGCCCGGGCAATAGAGCAAGCTTCTGTCTCAAAAAAAAAAAAAAAAACACACACAAAAAAACTGTGCATACCCTTGGATCCAGTGATTCCACCTCCAGGAATTTAGCCTAAAGAAAACATTATAAATGTACCAAAGATATAGCTAGACATTATGAATATGACCTTATCCATAATAGTGAAAATCTGGAAACAACCCAATGTACACTAATTGAGAGTTAATTATTAAAAAATCATGATAAATGGAATATCAGGCAATCATGAAAAAAGCAGTGTTCAATGTATGAATTTGTTAGGGAAAAGAAAATATTACACAGTGGTATAAATAATATGATCTCATTTTGGTTAATATACATGTGCTCTGTGAAAGCACACCAAACGGCTAAAACTACTAGAAATCAAAATTACAAAGAATTTTTACTTTAAGTTATAGAATGAAAAACTTTTACCAATATAGAAATCTTTTGAAATCAGAAAATAAAGATTTAAAAACAAATGTACCTACAAGAATATTCATCACGACACTGTTTAAAAGTACAAGATAAGGAAACTCATAAATGTTCAATAATAGAGAATTTAACAAATTGCAATGTATTCATATAATAAGACACTAAAAAAAAAAACCAAACAGGTTTGGAGGTCCCTAAAAGACCAATCGCCAGAGCTGTCTGGCAGATTGTTGAAAGCTCCATTCTCAGAGTTTGTCTTTATTTGACCTGACTCAGAGATCACTCAGTGTCAACAACCCTGTACTCAGGGCATTTGTCAAAAACACTCAGCAGATCACGGCTGCCTGAGTCAACATTAACAGCTGGAACTACCAAAAGGCTGACCAAAAACTTAAAAGGAAGAACTGGAGAATCAGATGTCTATAGGAACTTTGAAAAGCTCCAAAAATATTACTGGAAATCTAGAAGGCCACAAGTATGTGCATGGTTATGTACACATGCCCAGAGCTGTGCACAGGCCCAGGAGAGACCTGAGACGGCCCTACTCATTCACATCTGGCTGATCTTAAGGCTCTGTGCAAGCAGGAAGTAAAGGTTAAGACAGAGTTGCAAACTGTGAACGAGTCCGAACACAAGTCCATGTACTATATGATTCCAGTTACATAAAATGTCCAGATGAGGAAAATCCATAGAGACTGAAAGATTAGTGATTCCCAGAGGCTAGGGGAAGCGAGAAATGGGAAGTGACTGATAATGAGTATAGGTTTTTGGGGTGATGAAGAGTTTCTGAAATTAGACAGTGGTTGGTGATTGTACAACTTGTGAATATACTAAATACCACTAATTTGTATGCTTTAAAAAAGTAAATTTTGTGATATGCACATTATGTCTTAATAAAGTTGTTATGAAATTAAAAACTTTAACCAGCTTTGTAAAAAATATGACCCAACATGGATAACTTATTTCCTCTATATTTTTAACCACTAAAGTTTTGAGGAACTAGTTGTGAATTAGAAAGTGAAATAAGCATCCGTATAACGTGTACTTATGAAAATGTAAGGCATATTTATAGTTTTTGACCTTATTTCAATTTTCCAAACTCTCTTCCAATTGTATTCTATCGCAGATAATTTCAAATGGAGTTTAAGCTTTTTAATAAGTTTCTTCCTGTTTACAAATATTTATGGGAGGGGACAACAGCAATTTAAGTTTATTGTACAAAATAGAGAAAACAAAAGGAAAATAAAAATCACTCATGATATCATCCAGAGACAACTATTTTTAACATTTTGGTGTATAGCTTCCAGTCTTAACTTCCTTTTTAAATGTTAGCATACTGAAAGAACAATTCAAAAATACATGAACGTAAGAAAACTAAAATATGTGTTCAATGTCCCAAATTCCCAAACGCACTTACAGTTTTGTCTCCAATAAAGGTAAGATTTGTTCCATTCTCCTTAGCCTTTAAATATTAAAAAAAAGAAAAATCAGAACTTTTTTTTTTTTTTTTAACCTCTGGTGCTCCTCCAGCTGCCACCTCCACCAATTACCCAAGCGCAGTGCTCCCTCCCTGGAGATACAGCTCCCAAGTCGCTGGAATTTTTACTTTACTCTCAGAAATATATAAGAAAAACAATTACCTCCTGTTTTTCTCCTAAAAGAGGCAGTCGATGCACAAAATCCCCAGAAAAGCTCTATAAAAGAAACGTAAAATTAAAATTAAAGATGTATAAATAGTAAAAGAAAAGTGTAGCTCAAAATACACAGAAATGGTTAAAGTAAAACATAGCACTGTAACAGTAAATATAATAATATAGTTAGTATCAGCAAACAAAAGTTTTCCAGGCTGGGTGCAGTAACTCACATCTATATTTCCAGCACTTTGGGAGGCTGAGCGGGGAGGACTGCTTGAGGCCAGGAGTTAAAGATCAGCCTAGGCAACATAGCAAGACCCTCCCACCCAACTCTACAAAAAATGAAAAATTAGCCAGGCATGGTGGCACATGCCTATAGTCCTAGCTACTTGGGAGGCTGATGCAGGAGGACTGCTTAAGCCCAGGAATTTGAGACTGCAGTGAGCTATAATGATGCCACTGAACTCTAACCTGGGCAACAGAGAGAGACACTATCTCCAAAAAAAAGATTTCCAATCAACCACAAACAAGTGAATAAAATCCTATTAAGAACTAAAAAATAATATCAAACCAAACTGGCCACTCAATAATAAAAATTTAAGAATGACAAAACCTTAGATATAGGACATATGCTTTCCAATAGAAGGATCTTAGATAATTGTCCCTCATTCTGCAGATGAGGAAAATGCAAGTCAAAGCTATAAAGCTTTAGATGAAAAAAATAGGATTTGAACATAAGATTCCTGACTCTTAGGTCCACTGTTCCTTCCACATAACATTCTAAGCCTATTAAAAAAAAAAAACAAAAAACTAATTACCTGTCTTACCAGGTATCAGCAGGTGAGCCATTCTCCTTCCTGAGTGATTAGACTGTACAATTCAACTCTGTTACATTTGATTGGAGGAGAAAAGGAAACTTTACCAACAGAGGTATATGCCAAGACCCTGGAAAGGCTATAGCAGATCTAAAAGGAGGCAACCTCAGCCAACAGGACACAAGGTAGCTTTCCATAATCAAATCTGAGAAAGACCAACCAATCCTACTAGCCTGAGGGAAAATTTGGAGAAACATCAGAAAACACACAAAATACTCAACATCACATTGTTTCTACCTTTTTCTTTCTACCATTCTTTCACCATTTTTTTCCTTGAGACCAGGTCTCACTGTATCACTCAGGCTGATCTCGAACTCCTGGCTTCAAGTGATCCTCCTGCCTCTGAGCAGCTGGGATTACAGGCATGAGCCACTACACCCACTTTCTTCCACCATTTTAAAGCTATTTTTTTTCCCTCCAAGACCTTAACCTTTATAATCCTATTATCAATTACCAATTATTAAAGTCTTCTTATCAATAAACTTTACTTCTAGTAACTGATCAGTGAACTCCTTACCAGTTTGAGGCAATTTGCTAAATATTCCAAAGCAATTTTTAAATGCAGGAAGGACAAAGTAAAGGCTATAGTTACAATACTATTTTCAACACCTATAAAATTTTTCTATCAAAAGCTGGTATTAGATCGCATTTCTAAGATAATAGAATTTCATACCAGAATCTCCACTTACATGATTACATATATGGAAACATTAAAAATATATTATTCCCACCTTCCACTTTCCACAAAACAAGGCAGTGATGATGCCCTTTTGATTTCAGATCTGTAACAGTAAAACTTAAAAACCTTGATTTTTCTGGGAACATTATCAATTACATGAGGTGACAAGAGAATTAAAAATTTGAGGTTTCAAATGTCCATCAACAGATGAATGGATAAACAAAATATGGTATATGCATACAGTGGAATATTATTCAGCCTTACAAAGGAGTAAAATCTTGATACATGCTGTAACATGGATAAACCTTGAAAACATTCTGGTAAGTGAAAGGAGTCAGAAAAAAAATTGTACCATTCTACTTATATGAGGTATCCAGAGTAGTCAAATTCATAGACAGAAAATAGAACGGTGGTTACCAGGAACTGGCAGGAGGGTGGGGGTTGATGGGGAGTTATTGTTTAACGGGTATGAAGTTTCAGTTTGGGATGATGAAAGTTCTGAAGATGATCTGATGGCTGCGCAACAATGTAAATGTATTTAATGCCATTGAATTCTACACTTAAAAATGGTTAAAATGGTAAATTTTATGTTATGTACATTTTACCACAATAAAAAAAATTGGAGGTTTGCTTTTTACACACAAAGGAAAGTACAACCCCTCTTTGATGAGATGAACATGTTAAGTGGCTTACTATGCACCTATTAGAACATGCTTCCAACTTATTCCTGCCAGAAGGAACAACTGCGGTGTGGGAAATGGACATAGCCGGAAACACAATTACATTTTTTACATCTTCAATTTCCCTCCAACCACTTTCAAAGATTACCTGTGTTTTAAAGAGTTCGCTGCAGTTCTGGAACAATTTTGATGATGTTTGATATTTCCCAGACAAGCCTCTTTTTTCCTTAAGTTTTTCCAAATATGTCTCTACTTCTTCTGACTAGAAAAATAGAAAAGATACAAAGTATTTCATTTACCTTTCACAAATAAGATATTTAGAAGGTAAAAAATAGATCATCTGTAGGCCGGGAGTGGCTCATGCCTGTAATCCTAGCACTCTGGGAGGCCAAGGCGGGTGGATTGTTTGAGCTAAGGAGTTCGAAACCAGCCTGAGC